TGGACGCAAGATTGTCCCGGGTCACACATCGTCCTGTGCAAACTGAACTGAACTGAACTGGACTGGAACTGAACTGGGGCGCATCCTGGACATACCTTGTATAGCTTCGCCGCGCTTTTGTTGTCATCACATTTAAAAGAAGGCAGTCTGGAGCGCTTACAGTCCATATCCATGCTTATACAGTTGATTAGATCAGCCTTGTTTTCCAGAAGTTGTCTCAAAGCATCGGAACTTTTGACTTATACAATTCGTTGCAAGCAACTGCCTCCATGGACAGCATTTTACATTAGACAATGGGATGTTGTAGATGACCACTGGGGAAAATCTTGCTTTAATTTTGAAGTAGACAATGTAAATTATCAAATTTTACGAGTGGCCTGTTTTCCCCTTATCAAATATCATTGCACCAGATGCACAGCGTTAGATTTAATGTTCACCGATCGCTTCTATCTGTTTTTGAAGGTGGTGAATTGCGGTGAGTTTTATTCGTAAATGTGCCTTTCATATAGGACTTTTAGGAATCCCCTCAGTTATTTACGGAATTGCCGGCTTGCTTCTTACGCAAAGGACTGAGATAGTGGTAACCCATGTTGGGCATGTAAAAATATATTTGTGGTACAAAGAAAATAAAGGTTCATTACACTGATAATCACGTATTTTCATGTGCAACCGTATGAAACTTCTGTTTCAACTTTTTCAGATGATGTCGGACTCACACGACTCTTACTATCCGATAGCAGTTTTGATCGAGGAATTGAAAAATGAAGATGTACAGTTTCGACTGAATAGCATTAAGCAGCTGCAAACCATAGCGGTTGCCCTTGGACCAGAGAAGACCCGAACTCAGTTAATTCCGTTCCTCATTGATATGATTTATGATGAAGATGAAATCTTGCTTGCGCTGGCTGAGCAAATGGGCAACCTTGTTCCCTATGTGGGCGGACCTGAGCATGCTTCATCCTTGTTGGCTCCCTTAGAGAATTTGGTTTCAGTGAGTTTGTTTTATTTTCTTGTGATTTTTGTTTCATTGTATTCCACGAATTTGTAGTTCGTTTTAACCATGGTTGCTTCCCAGACTATGGGTTCGGCCTTGTGTAATGGTAACTAATTTCTATACCCACTTCTATGATTGCATCTTGCGTAGTTCAGGTTAAATATGGTCAGTTGAGTAGCTACTGATGTCTCAACGATAATTAGCTGGTCTAACCCTCGTGACCTAAAACTGAACTATTGGAATTCTCGCGTCTGATTGCCAGTGATGCTATATTTCACACGCTCCTGAACAGAGACTGTCAAACTAATTACCATACAAAAGTATTTGTAGGAGATAAACTGATCTATAATTTGCACATGGGTGACATAATTCCAGGTCACCCAGGACAAATCAGGCGATTTTTCTTGGGGATTATTCATATTTTGACGACGCACTTTAGTGGGACGGACGGCCGTGGTTAACACCATAGTTACGAGAACCCGCTGTTCATTGGCGGAAACCGGTGACCTAAGCTCCAGGACTTGAAGTGGCGAACCACACAAGGCCCCGATAGACGTGATATTGAACCGGACGACAGCAAAGCTACTTACCAACAAAGTTGGGTGGCGGTGGCGGGCACAAACCTCGGACCATAGGGTCCGAAGCACGCCGGTGACAGCGACTAAACTACTACGCTATCGCCACCCAATCGGAACCAACGGTTAGCTAGGCAGCGGGGCGGTATACGAAAACGAAAATCTATTGGAGATCGGTGTCCAGTTCACCAGGTTATGCAACCCCTGAACGGCGTGAAGCATCAAAGGTGCCCACTACACTTCGACGCTCAGTGAAGCCGGGAACCACCGACAACCCGGGGAAAGTAGTTGCGGTTTGGAGGCCTCTTCTTGACTGGTTTGAAGGAGGGTGTAGCCCACTTAAACTCCAAGTCGTTCGCCGATGCGGACATAGTTCTGACAGTTGAAAAACAAGATGCATACTGCATTAGTAGCTCAAAGAAGTCGCATTCTGACTTGTTTAGATGACTCTTACCGAGAGACGTCCTAATGACCCTGTCAGACGTGACCTCAAAAAGCTAATCATTTATAGAACGCTCCATAACTGCAGTTTTAAGTAAAATCCAATAGAAATTAAACAAGTGACTAGGCGCGCTAATGTTGTCTCTCCGTAGAACTTGCAGAATGCACGAAACAAGTATATTTTGTCTAGCTTTTAAGTTGAGGCGAAGTTTTCCCGTGGCGATCATCCCTCCTTTTACGGTGTTTCAATAACTTGACCGATGTTCGTTAGTTTGAACATGGTGAAAACACTGGTGTAAGGCGCCGCATGTTTGGTAGGATTCAGTGTTATCGAATTTGCACGAGGACACTCTACGGGGTATTCAATCTTCCACATACCGTCCATGTCTCCTTGACATCGATTGTCGCTTCACTTCGAAG